CCGGGTCACATGAGAGGGAGCTCTCATGAAATTACCCTCAAACATGGTTAGAAAGGATTGATGCAAGTATCAGTCTTAAGAGATGTAATAAAGTAAGGGCAGGAACTCTGACTCCTACCTAAATGCTGAAGGTCTTTTTTGCTTACTGAGGGTGTTAGAACGTCAGGCCTTCCCTCCCCTCCCCCGTCTAGAGCGGTGTTTCCCAAACACTGTGCAGGGTCTTCAGGGAGCCTATTCCCCTCTGGGTCTTCAGTGCCCGTCTTGGTCCACTGATGAGACTGGCCGCGCTAGAAAAGCAGAGTTGTATGGGCATGTAGTGAATGTGTGAAAGCATGCCGGGAAGTGAGGAACGGCAATGTTAGGAAAATGGTTACCAGTAGGGAGGAAAGGAAATGGGGTCACGGAGGGGACCACGAGGTCTCTAATTCCCACTGTAATGTTTTACTTCCTAAACTGGGTGGATGGCAAGCTGGTGTTCATTACATTATCTATACTCTTTCTGTACCTGAAATGTTTTATAAAAATAGACCTCTCGTTAAAGAAAGTTTTTAAATGCAAAAGAATGTCCTTTTTGAGATTAAGTTCATTCTGCATTTTAAAAATTTTATTCTATTTTATTTTTTAAATTTATTTGTTTATTTATTGAGGCAGTGTCTCTTATCGGTTGCCCAAGCTAGAGTGCAGCGGTACTATCATGGCTAACAGCAGCCTTGACCTCCCTGGCTCAACCAATCCTCCCACCTCAGCCTCCCAAGTAGCTGGGACTACAGGTGTGCGCCATGAAGCCCAGCTTCTTTTTGTATTTTTTGACAGGGCCCAGGCTGTCATCCTCTTTAAAATCTTCATGTGTCCTTTCTTATATGATGTTGGTAAATGACTTAAACACCCAGCAGGCAATCCTTTATGGAACTCAAATGTTTGAAATTTTACTGTCTTATAGAATCCACTCGATCTTATGCAACTGCCTTTGCCTCTGTGAAGCTTTAGCAGCTGTGGGTAAGTCACACAATCTTTCTAAGCCTAGGTTTCTCATCTGTAAAATGGGTATAATAATATTCACTTTATACCTGTAAATGAGATACCTGTAAAGAGCCTGGCTCAGAGAAGGCCATCAGTAAAGTTGGCTATAGGCCAGGCAGGAGGCTCACACCTGTAATCCTAAGTGGAGGCCTAGGCAGGAGGATCACTTGAGCCCAGAAGTTCAATTACAGTGAACTATGAGCGTGCCACTGCATTCCAGCCTGGGCACTGGATGACACAGTGAGACCTTGTTTCTAAAGAAAAAAGGAGGGGTTGGCTGTAATTACTATTCCCTCTGAGGAAACTGAAGCAGAAGGAACCCCTAATCTAGACTTGACTTTGGATTTGTGAAATATCAAGACAGCCTGGTTTGGCTGAGCCTGGTGGTTGTTCAAGCCTATAATCCCAGCACTTTGGAAGGCCGAGGCAGGTGGATCGCTTGAGCCCAGGAGTTCGAGACCAGCTTGAGCAACATAGTGAGACCTCGTCTCAACAAAAAAATACAAAAATTAGCTGGGCTTAGTTGCGTGCACCTGTGGTCCCAGCCACTCAGGAGGCTGAGGTGGGAGGATCTCTTCAGCCTGGGAGGTCGAGGCTGCAGTGAGCTGTAATTGTGTCACTGCACTCCAGTCTGGGTGACAGAGAAAGACCCTGTCTCAAAAGACAGCCTGGTTTACTATAGAATAATTCAAGAAATGGAATTTGCCTCTGGGCCTGAGTGGTGTCTAACACATGGTGAGGAGACATTATCTAATGCCTGTATTGCAAGCTCATACATATTTAAGCATTTTATCTTGGGGAGATAGGGCGCATGTTGTGGGCCAACTCTCGAGTGCCTTCTTTTAGAATGAGCTGCTTTGCAGTTCACCATGGAGATGGCTTCACCTGCCCGTGAGGCATGCTGGACCATCAGCACTTAGCAGCAAAGTGAGCCTCCCTGATCACAAGTAGGATATTTTCAAGAAAGAGCAATAAAGCTATCCTCAAAATCTGCTAAAGACTCCTGCTTTTTTTTTTTTTTTTTTTTTTTAAAGACTGAGTCTCACTTGTCGCTCAGCCTGGAGTACAGTGGTGCGATTTCATCTCACTGCAACCTCTGCCACCCAGGTGCAAATAATTCTCATGCCTCAGCCTCTGGAGTAGCTGTGATTACAGGTGCGCACCACCACACCCGGCTAATTTTTGTATTTTTGATAGAGACAGGGTTTCACCATGTTGTCCAGGCTGGTCTCGATCTCCTGAGCTCAGGTGATCCACCTGCCTCTTCCTCCCAAAGTGCTGGATTACAGGCATGAGCCACTATGCCGGGCTTACCTCCTTCTTAATCTGAAATTGATTTATGTTCCTTTCTTCTCTGTGAATTGCCCCTGTTATTTCTCCTTTGGCTGTCCTTACCCTCGGATAATTTTTCCGCTGTCAACCGCCTCTTCGTGGGCTCTCTCCCCTCATGGCCTCCTGCCTTTCTGACGGCTCCTCCTTCCTCCACTGGCCCCTTCTTCCCTCTCTCAGACTCAGGCTTCAGCATCTTCCCCGTCTCCCTGCACACTCCCATGACGACCTCCGCATTCTGGCTTTGGTGCCGCCCTTTATGCTGGAGATTCCCAGATCTCATTTCCAGAGCTGCCTCCTTAACCCATAGGTCTGGATACTTCCTGTTAGGTTTTTCACCTTCATGCTAAACGCGGTTTGTCTAAATCGGAAGTCATCTTCCATACCCTGCCGCCCCTCCCTCCTGACCCATCTTGGATCATTCTGCTAATCACAGGGATCCAAAAGCTTCAAGTCACTTTTGGCTCATCTCGTCCTGTTGACCCTCATCTGAGGCTTCAGTGAAAGGTTTCCTTTTTCCATTGCTTCCTCTTCTTGGAACCCAGCAACCGTCGATGGGTCTTTAATTCTTGGAGTCTCCTTCTCAGCCTCATCGCTCAACTCCTTCAGGAACCCAGTGGCTCAGCCAAGCCAGGATGGGCACCAACCCTTGAATACACTCCAGTCTCTCCCTCTTCTGAACCCTTTACTTTCTGCACTGCTGCTACTACCTCACCTGAGATATTCCTCCCTCCCAGATGCTTCACGCCCCTTCCCACTGCTGAGAAGCTCCCCTTCCTCGACCGGCCAGCTCAGATTCTGTCTTCATCATAAAGCCTTCTCCTGCTTCAAGAAGCACATTCAGCTAACAGTGCTCTCTGCCGGTCGTTCATAGTTTGCATCTCTCCCAGGCCTTAGCATGTTCTGCCTTATATTATTAAGGTTTTTGTAACCATGTCTTTTTATTTATTTATTTTAGAGATGGCGTCTCGCTTTATTGCCCAGGCTAGTCTTGAATTCCTGGGCTCAAGCAGTCCTCCTGTCTTGGCCTCCCAAAGTGTTGGGATTACAGGCATGAGCCACCATGCCCGTCCTATAACCAGGTCTTCTCAAATGTAACCTCCTCAAGGGCAAACATATCTGTAACACTCTTGCAAGCTGCACCAGCTCTGACACGTAGTTGATGCTCAGTGATGCATCACACTGATTTCCTGCCACTGGGCTGTGACACCAGACTCAGGGCTCCCATCCATCACATACAGCTCCCTCAGCCACAACATCCCCAATACAGGGAATTACAATCTGCCTTCATAATTTACTTGTGGCCGGGTGCGGTGGCTCACACCTGTAATCCTAGCATTTTGGGAGGCCGAGGCAGGTGGATCACCTGACGTCAGGAGTTCAAGACGAGCCTGGCCAATGTGGCAAAATCCCATCTCTACTAAAAAAAAAAAAAATAGCTGGGCATAGTGGCGGGTGCCTGTAATCCCAGCTACTTGGGAGGCTGAGGCAGAAGAATCACTTGAATCCAGGAGGCAGAGGTTGCAGTGAGCCAAGATCATGCCACTACGCTCCAGCCTGGAGGACAGAGTGAGACTCAGTCTCAATAATAATAATAATAATAATAAAATATTATTTACTTGTGTGACCTTTTGCAAATTACTAAACCTCCTTAAAACTTCATTTCCTCTTCTCTAATAGGGATAAGAGCACCTAGTTGATAATACTGTTATAGGATTAAATTAAACCATGTAGAGCTCTTAGAATATAGTGTGTCTGGCACAATAAATATTATAGAATAATAACAACAGTAATAAATTGTTATAGCCTTATGCAAAATTCTTCTTTAAGAATGCATTCAGATCTTCTGCCTGGCTTTTCGGGGTCTCCATTATTCCGTGACATAGAACAAAACAAAAAAAGAGCGAATTCATCTAGAAGCTTTACTTCTTCATCTTCCCCCACTGGTGTCTGACCTTGTGCCAATGTGTTTTCAGCCCTGCTATAAACTGCTGTGAGATCAGTCCAATTTTATGCAAGAGTTTTCTGAACCTTTGGCTTGTTCAATTTGAAGCTGCTTGTGAATGTAACTTTGTTCAAAGAGCTGACAGAGATAGCTGCGAGTGAAAACTCCTTGGCTTAAAATTGAGCCGCTGCTGGGCGTGATGGCTCATGCCTGTAATCCCAGCACTTTAAGATAAGGCCTAAGCGGGTGGATCACTAGAGCTCTGGAGTTTGAGACCAGCCTGGGCAACATGCAAGACTCCATCTCTATTTTTTTATTTAGAAAATAAATACATAAATAAAAATGAGCCTCACTTTTTGACCTAATTGAAAGCAGGTGATAAAAATGTATACATTGCGATCAGGTGCAGTGGCTCACACTTGTAATCCCAGCACTTTGGGAGGTCGAGGCAGGCAGATCACCTGAAGTCAGGAGTTCAAGACCAGCCTGGCCAACATGGTGAAACTTTGTCTCTGCTAAAAATACAAAAATCAGCCGAGTGTGGTGGCATGTGCCTGTAATCCCAGCTACCTGGGAGGCTGAGGCAGGAGAATTACTTGAACTTGGGAGGCTGAGGTTGCAGTGAGCTGCGATCACGCCACTGCACTCCTGCCGAGGTGACAGAGCAAAACTCCGTCTCAAAAAAAAATATACGTTGCACTTATTGAAACACTTTGGATCTTTCAGGAGGACATTCCTTTTCTCCATTCAGAGCCCTTTGTTTTCTTTGGGGTATAGCAACAGTTCCTTCTGTGGGAGCTGTTGTGGCATGGCCCCTGTGGCATTGTCTGTCCTCATATGACATCATTCTCATGGTTCTTTTCGGGTTTCTCATGCTGGCATTGTTTCGGCGGGGAATTCTCTTCTGCAGCACACGGATCCTGACTACTCAGCTGCCTATGTCATCATAGAAACTGATGCAGAAGATGGAATCAAGGGGTGTGGAATCACCTTCACTCTGGGAAAAGGCACTGAAGTTGGTGAGTTGAAGATTCTCTCAAGGTTCCAGAATGCTTAATTTTCAGATGAGATTCTAACTTCGATTTTTAGATTCATTAGAATCTTGATTTAGATTCAGTTTCAGTCTTGTTTTTCTCTGTGTTTAACTGCTCAAAGTGAGTAAAAATAGTGTTTCATCATTTGTTATTTATTTCACTGGGAGAAATTTAAAAGTGACAGAATTTGGCCTCTCTCCTTGCAATCATCTCTAGTCTGTTAGAAAATCCGTGACTCTTAGTCTGTTTCTCTGTGTCAAATGACAGCTACAAGGATGTTTTTCACCTGCCTTTTACCCGGGGCCACTGTCGAGCTTTAACAACCTGCCGTGGGTGAGTAACCAAGGGCAATGAGAGGGAGGAGATGTGAGTTCCCACAGCAAAAAAAGGCTCATTGTGATGTGCACAGTGAGTCTACTCACTTTTCTATATATATTTCTTTTTTTTTTTTTTTTTTTGAGACAGAGTCTCACTCTGTCGCCCAGGCTGGAGTGCAGTGGCGCAATCTCAACTCACTGCAAACTCTGCCTCCTGGGTTTAAGCAATTCTCCTGCCTTAGCCTCCTGAGAAGCTGAGATTACAGGCACCCACCACCACGCCCAGCCAATTTTTGTATTTTTAGTAGAGACGGGGTTTCACCATGTTGGCCAGGCTGGTCTCGAACTCCTGACTTCAGATGATCCACCCGCCTCAGCCTCGCAAAGTGCTGGGATTACAGGTGTGAGCCACCGCACCCAGCCTTTTCAAAATATTTCACACCAAATTGGTTTCAAGTTCACTATTTTCATGGCAAAAAAGGGCTTTAGCCCTGCCCAATCTCGGAGGTCTCCTTTGGGGAAGAGCAGATTCTTTAAGATGTATACGGAGCTGTGAATACGTCATTCTTTTTTTATTTGCATTTTCTGTTTTCTTAAACAAGATACAGAGCATAACTTTTCTCAGAGCTGGATGTGATCTCAATGGTGATCTTGAGCCATCTCATTTGTTAGAGAGAAGAAAACTGAGGCACAGGCAGATACCCAGCAAGTCATGGCAGAATTGCCTGACTGCCCGAAGCACTTTCTCTTCAGAACTTTTAAATGCAGCTCTTTTTGAACACATCATACCTGCACATGGTACAAAATTCAAGAAGTACAAAACAGTGACCTTTGCCAGGTCAATTTCAGTGGATTATTAGGGGCTGAAGCCAAATTATAATAGATTGAAGGGTTAGGGTCTAGAAGGAGGGAAAAGAGTTTCTCTAACTTTGGTGGTAGTGTGATACCTCTCCCATGGATATTTGCACCATCAGCGCTCTCAGTAGTTGTAGAAAAAAATCTTGGCCCATTGAGAGATTTTAAATTGTTAAGCATATAAAAGAAGTGTGTGAGTTTGTGAGTGTGTGTATGTCTGAATGGCAAGGGAACCTTCCTTGAACTTGCAATGGACACTGCCCAGGTGGCTGCTGTTTCTGCTCTTCACAGGGCTGGCGGTCAGTTGTCTGGCAAGTCAGTCCTTCTGCAGACTTCTCCTGAGTGCTGCCATGCATCAGGCACTGAAGTAATTTTAAAAAGAGAAAGACAGCCCAGGCGTGGTGATTCACGCCTGTAATCTCAGCACTTTGGGAGTTTGAGGCGGGCAGATTGCTTGAGTCAAGGAGTTCGAGACTAGCCTGGTCGACATGGTGAAACCCTGTCTTTACTAAAAATACAAAAATTAGCTGGCCGTGGTGATGCGTGGCTGTTATCTCAGCTACTCAGGAGGCTGAGGCATGAGAATTGCTTGAACCTGGGAGTTGGAGTTTGCAGTGAGCTGAGATTGTGCCACTCCACTCCAGCCTGGGTGAAAGAGCGAGACTCTGTCAAAAAAAAAAAAAAAAA